CAACATATAAAACCTTCTTTTGGTGTTAAAGTGAAATAAGATAAATAAAATCATGCTCAGTTAACAATTGAAATGCACTTAACGGTTTAAATCATCTCAATGTATGACCATATTGTAAAAAAACATGATCAATCAAATCTTGTGTGGCAATATATTGTTTACTGGTAACCTTACTAATAAAGTAATATTCATGTGTAATATGGATCAATTATTAAGTAAATAGCTGCCTACAATTAGGAGTAAATATTACTCATTTATAAGTCATACGTTTTAAGTAATTGAGTTAGATTTGACTTAATTTCTTAAAGTAAGTCTTATATATTAAATATTAGTAACCTTTACCAAGCTGCCTATGATTAAGAGTAATTATTACTCATTTATATATAATATGTTTTATTAAGTAATTGAGTTAGATTTGACTTAATTTCTTAAAGTAAGTCTTATATATTAAATATTAGTAATCTTTACCCAAAAACATTGGGTAAGATCTACTCAAAGGAGTGTGTGCAAATTGTTACCCCCATTTTATTGAGTAGATCTTATAGGTTGATTTTTACAGTGTACACACTGCACCACACACACTGTACCACACACACACCTACACACTGTACCACACACACACCTACACACTGTACCACACACACACACACACACACACACACCTACACACTGTACCACACACACCTACACACTGTACCACACACACTGTACCACACACACACCTACACACTGTACCACACACACACACACACACTGTACCACACACACACACCTACACACTGTACCACACACACACACACTGTACCACACACACACTACCACACACACCTACACACTGTACCACACACACACACACTGTACCACACACACACTACCACACACACACCTGTACCACACACACCTACACACTGTACCACACACACACTACCACACACACCTACACACTGTACCACACACCTACACACTGTACCACACACACACCTACACACTGTACCACACACACACTGTACCCACACACACACACACACACACCTACACACTGTACCACACACACCTACACACTGTACCACACACACACTACCACACACATCTACACACTGTACCACACACACACACACACTACCACACACACCTACACACTGTACCACACACCTACACACTGTACCACACACACACACACTGTACCACACACCTACACACTGTACCACACACACACCTACACACTGTACCACACACACACACTGTACCACACACACACACACACACTGTACCACACACACACACTACCACATACACACCTACACACTGTACCACACACACTGTACCACACACACACACTGTACCACACACACACACACACCTACACACTGTACCACACACACACCTACACACTGTACCACACACACACACTGTACCACACACACACACACACCTACACACTGTACCACACACACACACTGTACCACACACACACACACACCTACACACTGTACCACACACACACTGTACCACACACACACACACACACCTACACACTGTACCACACACACACTGTACCACACACACCTACACACTGTACCACACACACACACACACACACACTGTACCACACACACACTGTAAAAATCAACCTATAAGATCTACTCAATAAAATGGGGGTAACAATTTGCACACACTCCTTTGAGTAGATCTTACCCAATGTTTTTGGGTAAAGATTACTAATATTTAATATATAAGACTTACTTTAAGAAATTAAGTCAAATCTAACTCAATTACTTAATAAAACATATTATATATAAATGAGTAATAATTACTCTTAATCATAGGCAGCTTGGTAAAGGTTACTAATATTTAATATATAAGACTTACTTTAAGACATTAAGTCAAATCTAACTCAATTACTTAAAACGTATGACTTATAAATGAGTAATATTTACTCCTAATTGTAGGCAGCTATTTACTTAATAATTGATCCATATTACACATGAATATTACTTTATTAGTAAGGTTACCAGTAAACAATATATTGCCACACAAGATTTGATTGATCATGTTTTTTTACAATATGGTCATACATTGAGATGATTTAAACCGTTAAGTGCATTTCAATTGTTAACTGAGCATGATTTTATTTATCTTATTTCACTTTAACACCAAAAGAAGGTTTTATATGTTGAGTAGCTGCACATCAGTAAATGATCCCTAAATCATGTTCCTGTGAATGCTAACCCATTTATAAACACAATAAGATGTTTCCAGATTTACAGCAATAACTTGCATATTTCTTTGTTAGGTGTCAGAGTGGTTCATCAGACATTAAACAATGGAGTCAGAGTGGTTCATCAGACATTAAACAATGGTGTCAGAGTGGTTCATCAGACATTAAACAATGGAGTCAGAGTGGTTCATCAGACATTAAACAATGGAGTCAGAGTGGTTCATCAGACATTAAACAATGGAGTCAGAGTGGTTCATCAGACATTAAACAATGGAGTCAGAGTGGTTCATCAGACATTAAACAATGGAGTCAGAGCGACCTCCGAAATGAAGTGATCAGTCTTTAATGACATACCTGGCTGTCTTGAAAAAGGTCTTCTTGGCGTTCCCCAAGGTCTTCAATCAGACACCTGGCCACTGCATCTCTTTTCCCAACACTCTGGGCCTGTGAGGAAATGCATTTTAGTGACAAGACTTATTTCTGCATTTTCATATTCTTGAATGAAACATTTAAATAAATGTACCTCATCAATTGTGCTCAGAAGAGGGCGCATCCTGGAGCCAGCATCTCCTCTTTGGCACGCATCAGCTGGAGCGAGTGGTGTTATGGCGCGTTTCCACTGCAGGCCTCGCTCGGCCTCGCTCGGTTTGGTTTAGCCCGGCTCACTTTAATGCTGCGTTTCCATTACAGTTTAGGAACTGGGGTAGTTACCATAGTAACGCAGTGTAGGCGAGGCGATCAACTTTTTGGCGGGCGGAGCGACGCTGCATACAACTGCCGTGATGTCATCTTCAATGCGACACAACTCACAAAACACACAACAACAACGGAGGATGTAGAAGCCATCGTGTCCTTGCTTCTTGGTACGTGGTTTTTTATCACAGCAAGAAGGAGAACTTTGTTTCGGAAAAGGCTGCTTGTAGCAAGACGTAATACAGAAGAAGCTGAGGGGAGACTTATGGCAATCGTACAACGCGGCAGAGACTACTCCAGGACGGCTCAACGACAACGCTACTTGGTAAGCTAACGTTCGCTAACTAGCAATGTGTTTCACGCTCACTATACGACCAAAGTGTTTCACGCTCATTATATGACAAAAGTGTTTCAAGTATTTAATTAATTGTAGCTACCACTTGTACGTATTAAAATATGTATGCTTTTGTTTGTGTATTTCAGAAGTTAGGTTGCCACCGCAGACCATGTGTTTGGATGCTTGACCGAGCAACCGAGTGGTGGGGTGTGATTGTTCCATCTTTCACACACACTCAGTGGAGAACTTCAGGATGTCTGAGGAAACCTACGCCTACCTGTGCAACAAACTGCGGCCAGCGATGGAGAGACAGGACACACCATTCCGCGAGTGTTTACCTCTAAAGAAGAGGGTGGCCATCGCACTGTGGAAGCTTGCGACCGGCTCAGAGTTTGATGCGCTACCTGAATAGCTAAATATTCATTGTATACAGGAAACTTGAATGTTTTGGTTCATAACATCATGGTTCAGTAAGTTGATATACATTTCTTGTGTTTGTAATTATAAACACGACATTGAAAGATTGTGGGCCATTAAGGCCAGTGACGTTTTGTTTTTATTATTACTACATTGTATTGAACATAAATAAATCTTTTTTTCTCTTTCACATATGTGTTTGTCAAATGATTTAAACAAAAAAATGTTATCAGAATTGACTATTTAGTAAATATTTGATTTTCAAGCACCAGTAAGTACTTCCCCATAATAAGAACATTTGAGCAAATATGAAAGTAAACATAAATACAAATGATCTCTTATCCCCCTTCTCTTCCAGTTTATTTGTAAAAGGAAATCTTTGACTTTAAGTAATGTGTCAGTTACCAAATAATGTTTTAGAGGAGGACCTCAAGCAAGCAAACTCAATTTCTTGCTTTAAATCTCTTCTTAAAATTAACTTTTATCTTATGCTTTTTCCTAACTGATGGTGTTTCTTATTGCTTTATAAATGCATGTATGTTTATATCTAGATCTTAATTGGGCTATTTTTACAATTGTTTTTGAGTGATATTGTAGGCTTTTGTTTTTAAAGATCCACAAATATTATTAGTAATGGTATTAGTTGTAGCCTATTTTTATTTAGGAAAGAATATAGGCCTATAACTTCTGCCTCATGAATCTGAGTTTTTGTTCTGCTGATTTAAAGCCCTTTAATTGTACATTTCAGTTTATGATTGGATTCCAAAACTGTAATGTTGTGTGTGAGTGGCAACCCAGTGACTTTGTTTACATGCTCACGGAAATCAGTTTGTTAATCAGATTATGGCAGGAAATCAGATGATGCATTTATCAACAAGAGATAAGATGAGAAGTACTTTATTGAATCCCAATTTGGGAAGTGTTTTTTGTTGCAGCATAAAAAGGCATGGCATTGTACAAATACAAAATAAAAAAATGTTTGTATTGCAGCAGCATAAAAAGATATGACATTATAAAAAAAAAAAAGGAAAGATAAGAAATAAACTGGAGGAACGTCGCAACTTCGTCAATCGACCACGGTATGTTTTTCTTTGCCATTTTCTTAGGTTTACAAAAATGCTGCAAGCGTCCCTTAATATATGCGACACTAGGGATTAAGTCGCGCGAGAATTGTGACGATTCTCTCTGACCAATCAGAGTCACTAGTTTAGCACATTCCGCCCGGTTGTTGGCCCCGCTTGTTGGCCTCGATAGAACCACGATTTAGTCGGGCCAGAAAAAGGGTGAAAAAGTAGCCTCGGGCCAAAACTAGGCCAAGTGGAAACGCAACCAAAAACGGGCCCCGCACGGCTCGGCGCGCTTAAAGCGAGCTACCCGCTGCAGTGGAAACGCGCCATTAGTGGACCCATCCAGTTTCAGCATCAAAGTCTCTTCCAGTGAAAGAGTTGTTATGTGTCGGAACTCCTCCTTGATCTAATAAAGAGCATCGGGGACAACACTCATTACTCACAACTCTGACAACAGTGAGTTGAAATGGGAATAATAAACGTAGTGTTCTCACCTGAGCCTCATTGAATAAACCATCTCTCCTTGAAGACACGTGGGCTGAGGGTCACCACCTCCACTCCACTACGAATTGTCTGCAGGATTTAAAATGTATAGGACTTAGGTGCCGTCTCTGAGGATGTTACACTTATATTCACATTTCTTACACTGAACATTACCAACAAAATAACACAATTAAACTGTTTTATGTAGAAAAATCCTAAAATATATAACAATGAGCTTTGGCTCTGCTCCGTGGTAATCTATCCAGTCCTCGCGATAATATACAGTAAGCTTAATGTAAACATAAGTCTATAGGCTATTGCTGCAGCTATACCTCAAAAAAGACAAATGAATCATAAATCATTATTACTGTGGCTTGGCAGAATATACGATGGTTATTTTTCACTAAGAGATAGTCGCGAGATAGTTGTCTCAGTATTGATCGTTTCATGCACGCTCATATGAACACAGACACACGAGGAAACTGACGGCCGACGTTAGATAGACTAAGAGAGATGCTACAAGCTAGCTTCAACTTAGTTAGCCTTGTGCATCATTTGAATGTGTCCCCCGCAAACCGTTACTGTACTCAATACTACTCAACCGGGTCAGAGTTCGTCATATTACTTGACCTGACATGTTATTTAATAAACGGTACTGATGTTTGCAGTGCGCATCACCATTGGATACTGTGTGGAAAATAACTTTGGACAAACACACCTTATATAGAGGACGACCAACTTCAAAGGTTGATTTAAACGAATGCCGCCTTCCGCGCGCTGTTCTTGTTAGTACTTAGCTAGCAAACAATAGCCTTCTCTGCTAAGCACGCACGATGCTAACGTGAAACACAACTTGGCTGGTTAACTTACATTAATATACAACTGTCGCCGTGACGCTTAACTCATTTCAGACGGCATGCCGTCAACATGCACATTATTGCTGTAATAACAATTATTAACAATATGGAGCTAAACATCATAGTGCTTTACTCTTAGCTCCTATGTTAGCTACAGCTATCTAGCATCAGTGACCGACTTCCAGTGAGTAATAGATGAGAACAAACTTACATTCCTTGTCTAACAGTGAAGCAAGCAGACAACAAGTCTTGTGATGAACCTCAAAAAACGTGAACATGTATATGTAGGACATGATAGACAGTAATATCTTACCTTCCAACATTTCCACACAGCAGGAGGAGGGAGGCGCGAAAGAGAACCGTTCCTCTGGCCTGCAGACAAGAATCACCGCAGACGCATGCGCAAAGGGGCAGTGTGGGCCTAATGTCTTCAAGTAGATTTTACCCAGATTGTTTGTGTTTCAGTTGGTACTGTCAGAAATTAGGTAGAATGTACCCATTCATATATACTAACAATGCTCACTTATATACCTTGAGTACAATTTAAATGATTTGCTTGGATAATATATACTACCCTCCAAAATCCTTTTTTATAGTGTAGGTGTGTGTGGTACAGTGTGTGTGTGTGTGTGTGTGGTACAGTGTGTGTGTGTGTGTGTGTGTGTGGTACAGTGTGTGTGTGTGTGTGTGTAGTGTGTGTGTGTGGTACAGTGTGTAGGTGTGTGTGTGGTACAGTGTGTGTGTGTGTGTGTGTGGTACAGTGTGTAGGTGTGTGTGTGTGGTACAGTGTGTAAGTGTGTGTGTTGTACAGTGTGTAGGTGTGTGTGGTACAGTGTGTAGGTGTGTGCGTGGTACAGTGTGTGTGTGTGTGTGGTACAGTGTGTGTGTGTGTGCGTGGTACAGTGTGTGTGGTACAGTGTGTAGGTGTGTGTGTGTGGTACAGTGTGGTGTGTGTGTGTGTGTGTGTGTGTGGTACAGTGTGTAGGTGTGTGTGTGTGGTACAGTGTGTGTGTGGTACAGTGTGTAAGTGTGTGTGTTGTACAGTGTGTAGGTGTGTGTGGTACAGTGTGTAGGTGTGTGTGGTACAGTGTGTAGGTGTGTGTGTGGTACAGTGTGTAAGTGTGTGTGTTGTACAGTGTGTAGGTGTGTGTGGTACAGTCTGTAGGTGTGTGTGGTACAGTGTGTAGGTGTGTGTGTGGTACAGTGTGTAAGTGTGTGTGTTGTACAGTGTGTAGGTGTGTGTGGTACAGTGTGTAGGTGTGTGTGTGGTACAGTGTGTAGGTGTGTGTGTGGTACAGTGTGTAGGTGTGTGTGGTACAGTGTGTAGGTGTGTGTGTGGTACAGTGTGTAGGTGTGTGTGGTACAGTGTGTAGGTGTGTGTGTAGTACAGTGTGTAGGTGTGTGTGTTGTACAGTGTGTAGGTGTGTGTGGTACAGTGTGTAGGTGTGTGTGTGGTACAGTGTGTAGGTGTGTGTGGTACAGTGTGTAGGTGTGTGTGGTACAGTGTGTAGGTGTGTGTGGTACAGTGTGTAGGTGTGTGTGGTACAGTGTGTAGGTGTGTGTGTTGTACAGTGTGTAGGTGTGTGTGCTAGTGTGTAGGTGTGTGTGTGTGGTACAGTGTGTAGGTGTGTGTGGTACAGTGTGTAGGTGTGTGTGGTACAGTGTGTAGGTGTGTGTGGTACAGTGTGTGTGTGTGTGTGTGTGTGTGTGTGTGTGTGTGTGTAGGTGTGTGTGTGGTACAGTGTGTAGGTGTGTGTGGTACAGTGTGTAGGTGTGTGTGTGTGTACAGTGTGTAGGTGTGTGTGTTGTACAGTGTGTAGGTGTGTGTGTGGTACAGTGTGTAGGTGTGTGTGGTACAGTGTGTAGGTGTGTGTGTGGTACAGTGTGTAGGTGTGTGTGTGGTACAGTGTGTAGGTGTGTGTGTGGTACAGTGTGTAGGTGTGTGTGGGTACAGTGTGTAGGTGTGTGTGGTACAGTGTGTAGGTGTGTGTGGTACAGTGTGTAGGTGTGGTGTGGTACAGTGTGTAGGTGTGTGTGGTACATGTGTAGATGTGTGTGTTGTACAGTGTGTAGGTGTGTGTGGTACAGTGTGTAGGTGTGTGTGGTACAGTGTGTAGGTGTGTGTGGTACAGTGTGTAGTGTGTGTGTGGTGTACGAGTGTGGTAGTGGTGTGGTACAGTGTGTAGGTGGTGTGTGTACAGTGTGTAGGTGTGTGTGGGTACGTGTGTAGGTGTGTGTGGTACAGTGTGTAGGTGTGTGTGGTACAGTGTGTAGGTGTGTAGGGTGGTTACCGTGTGTAAGTGTGGTGTGTGTGTACAGTGTGGTAGGTGTGTGGTGGTACAGTGTGTAGGTGTGTGTGGTACAGTGTGTAGGTGTGTGTGTGGTATAGTGTGTAAGGTTGTGTGGTGTACCGTGTGTAGGTTGTGTGTGGGTACAGTGTGTAGGTGTGTGGTGGGTACAGTGTGTGTAGGTGTGTTGTGTGGTACATGTGGTAGGTGTGGTGGTGGTACGTGTGTAGGGTGGGTGTGTGGTACAGTGTGTAGGTGTGTGTGTGGGTACAGTGTGTAGGTGTGTGTGTTGTACAGTGTGTAGGTGTGTGTGTGGTACAGTGTGTAGGTGTTGTGTGTACAGTGTGTAGTGTGTGGTGGTACAGTGTGTAGGTGTGTGTGGTACAGTGTGTAGGTGTGTGTGGTACAGTGTGTAGGTGTGTGTGGTACAGTGTGTAGGGGTGTGTGGTACAGTGTGTAGGTGTGTGTGTGTACAGTGTTAGGTGGTGTGGTACAGTGTGTAGGTGTGTGGGTACAGTGTGTAGTGTGTGTGGTACAGTGTGTAGGTGTGTGTGGTACAGTGTGTAGGTGTGTGTGGTACAGTGTAGGTGTGTGTGGTACAGTGTGTAGGTGTGTGTGGTACAGTGTGTAGGTGTGTGTGGTACAGTGTGTAGGTGTGTGTGGTACAGTGTGTAGATGCGGCAGACAGACGGGTCTCAGTTGGTTTGGTGTCGTCTGCTTACTTTTAATACTTATACAACTTTTGGCCGTAATTTCAATTCCCCATTTCAGCGACCAGAGAGGGGGGGGGGGGTATCCAGTCTCTGATTGTGTTACGTTACTATGAGAGTGCTCTCATACTTGTTTGATTCTGAAATTGTATATATTTATATAAGTGTGTGTGTGTGTGTGTGTGTGTGTGTGTGTGTGTCCATCTGTAGCCTGTTATTGTCTCATGACACCGCACTGTGAATGAATCAAAGTAGAAGTGGTCATGAACACATCTGTCCGTCAGACAGCTGCTGCCTCCT